TCACAGAGATTGTGTCAGCATGCGCATAACATCTGTACATATGCTTATGCTAGACAAAAATCCCAGCATGGACAGGGAGAGATGGCTATGAAGCTTCAATCCTCTCTAAAAAGCTACTGGTATTTGATTGCTGCTGGGTAAAGGAAAGTCAGTTTTCTTTAATGGAGTGACACCTGCCATAAGGACTACACTGTAGGGAAGGACCCATGCTAGGGACCAATACAAAACAAATTACATTTTTTTGGTTTATTTGCTTGAGAGAGGGGGAGGTGAGGGAGAGAGAGAATGAGTTGAACTCTTAAAATTAAGGGAGTAAAAAAGTAGGGAGAACCTGGCAGAAGTTGGGGGGAGGGGAATGGATATAATAAAATATATTATATGAAATTGCCAAAGAACAAATAAAGGCTTAGGAGTTGAAGAGATGGTTCATAGGTTAAGAGCACTTTCTATTTTTGCAGGGTACCTGAGTCCAGTTTGTGGTATCTCAAATCAGGCAACTTATAGCTGCTTATAACCCTAGTGCCTTGGGAATCATCATTGGTTGGGCTACTACAGGCACCTGCATATGTGTGATTACACCTAAACCAGGCAGGCACACACACAAATAAAATTAAATATTTTAAAAAATTAGAGCCTGTGATCTCCCCCTTACTTGACTATTGTTAGGCATAGTCTTGTGTGCACCCAGTACAGGTAGCTACATTTAGTGTGAGTTAATAATTGCAATTGTATGGATTCTAGGTAATAGTATTTTGTGGCTCTTCACCCTATCTTCCAACTCTTAAAAACTTCACCTCTTCTGTAATGTTTTCTGAACCTTATAGGGGTGATATTAATGCCTGTTTCATGTTTGACTAAACACATTTGTCACTTACTCTGTGTCTTAAGCAGTCATGGGTGGCTGCATTCACTGCCATTCATTGTAAAGTGAAGATCCTCTGATTGAGACTGGGAACCACTTTTGTCTATGAGTATTTAGGTATTTAGACAGTTTGCTACTGTCATTTTGTTTATGCCTTGTTTATACGTTTCTCACCTGGGCCTACTACCTCTTAAGGTTTGGACTATTAGCCAGGCTCACAGTACCAATCCTTGATCCCCCTTCTTCCCTGAGGAGTAAGCCTGGGCTTTAACCAAAGAGCAGTTGGTTACTCACACCACAGTCACTTTTAGCTATTCAAATAACATTCACTAAAGAAAAACTCGAGAGATAAATTCTTCAGACTCTAATTTCAGGTTGATGATTAGCTCAGTGCGGTAGATGAATTTCTAACCAGTCTTATTCACCTTAAGAAGGATAGTAAGATGATGTGATTAGTGTTTGACATTTTGGCAATGGCTTTTAAAATTAATTGTCCTTCCCTTGTGAAAATGGCAGAGGGTGGAGTTACTGCTAGTATCAAGTTCATGTATTTATATTCTAAGAATTTAAGCCTGAAAGTGCAAACTGCTAGGATTTCCGGCCAGAGTCCTCAACAAAGGTAGAGTCTTTCCTCTCAGTCACACACTGCAGTTGCAACTGGAATCTGAGAGGAAGAAGTCTGACGCTCAAGGACCAACTATGCCACTCGGAGCTTCCCAACCATGCTCTAAAAGTCTAAGTGAATGCTTGTAAACAATGGCTGCAGGAGGGTTCACACCCAAGGAATGCTTTCTCAGATGCTGGTACCTGGAAATCCGTCTTGCTTGCTTTTTTTTTTTTAATGATGACCTAGTTCCTAGTGTCCAGATTGCCAGTATTGGGCAAAGCACTGGATGAAAACTAATAAACCTTATGATTTCTCACAGAGAACTAGGTGAATCAGTGCTGCAGGAACCATTCCTGTGTTTTTAACATCAGAGGCCAAGAATTTGAAAGAGAGTGGGGTGAGGGTTTATGGGAGGGTTTGGAGTGAGGAAAGGGAGGAAAAATATAAATAAGTTATAATCTCAAGAAATAAAAAATGAAAAACTTGTATTTAAACATAGTATCAGCATATCTACTCTTTGGGACAGTGCATCATTGGCTGAAATGAGAAATCTCAGATCTGCAAGTAACATAAATATTGGTAAGTAGAATAAACATGGATTTTCTTTTCTTATTTTTAAATTATATTTTATGATTTTCTTTTACATAAACACCATTTTTAATTGTAAATGAACATGACAATTGTGCTGGCTGCAAAAATTTTTCAATGAGGCAAATTCTGAAAGAGTCTATTTTAAGTATCGTTGCATCTATGATAAGGGTAGTTTTCAACTTTGTATGGAATCATGCGAACTGAGCCCTCTCCCTTGATAGTCTGTAAGAATGACCAAAGATATTTATTTGCCAGTGTTTTCTTCTGTTGTTGTTTGGTGTGGGAAGACCTTTTGTATATGTATTGTTTTTGTTGATTAATGAATAAAGAAGTTCTTGGGCCTGAGGCAGGGCAGAATTGAGTTACGCAGGAAAACTAAACTGAATGCTGGGAGAAAATAGGTGGAGTCAGAGAGACGCCACATAGCTGTGGAGACAGATGCCCAGTTTACTGATAAACAACGAGCCTCATGGTAAAATACAGAACAGTGAAAATGGGTTAATTTAAGATATAAGACTAACAATAAGCTTAAGTGCTTGACCAAGCAGTATTGTAATTTGCGGCGAACTCCCTGACCAGCAGGAAGGAACAGCCACCAGACGAGGATTCTTCCCAAATCACGCTTTATTGGAGCCTTTTGGTTATAGGGAGAGCAGAAAGCAAGGGGCCCAGAGCTCTGAGCGGCAGCTGCTTATATAGGGATTCTGCCTAGCAACCTTTGATACTTTGACTGCTTTTCTGGAGACCCACCGGCCAGAAAGAAAGCAGGGGAACATCCCTGTCAATTACAGACCACAAGGAAGTTCCCCTGCCAGTCAGGGGAAGTGTGGGCAGCTAGATCACAACAACTCATCCTGTTTTCTAGTGGAAGAACTGCAACCTTTATTATGGTATCAAGCGAGGCCGGGGCCAAATGCCATCTTGTAATGGCAGCCACTCAAATCTGCTCCCAGCAGTAATTAATATAATTTCTGTGTGATTATTTCAGGTGTCGGTGGCCGGGAATGAACAAGCAGCCTCTACCAACAGTTGTTAATGCTAAGGGCTATAATTATCAAGCGAATTTGATAAAACTTTGGATTTAATGTTGTTTATATTTCAAAAGTTGCTTGAAATGTTACCTATTTAAAAATGCATCTAGATTGGTAAGGTGAAAGTCTGGCAAGCAGAGTTTGATTCCTGGAACCCATGAAAAGGTGGAGAGGAGTAAACTTACTCCACAGGTGTCCTCTGGCTTCCCACGTGCACACACACACACACACACACACACACACACACACACTCCAATTATAAAGATTCTTCTTCAGATTATTCTATGTCCATTCTCTCCAAATTTTCCTCTTCATTTTGTCTTGTTTCCTATCAGTCTTTTATTTCCCTATTTTCTTTCTTCTTTCTTGTTCTCATTTGTTCTGTTTTTCCGTTCCCCTATCCATACACATTACTTGCATTATCTTCAAGTATTTTACAGATTCTAGGCCAGCTCTGTAGTTACAAACACAAACTAAGCATTTATCTGCTTAATAAACTTGGTTTAATGTAATTGTTTCCATCTTTGTCTACAGTATCCGAGATGGAAGAAAGGCTTTATCTATGGATTGGCATATGACTTTAACAAATTAATCCAGAAATGCATAACTTCAACATAACTAAGAAAAACAAATCAAATACGTTTTGTTGTGAAGGGTGTTTTTGTTCTTCCTTTTAACAAGATAAACTTCCCTTTTAACATTCCTTCTTTTCTGTCTTTTTCAGAAAATTGAGGATTAATCCCATGACTAGCCCCTGCTTTCATTCATATTCTTTCTCTTTTAGGAATATTCAGAGACTATTTTAGAAAAAAAAGTTTTCTTTATTAATACTTCAATGAGAACTAGAAAATTATGCATCAAAATAAAACAGTAAATTAAACACAATTTTAATTCTAAGTTTAGGTATATTTTCTCTTTAGGTTGATAGGTCTAAAACTAAAATATAAAATATTATGTAGTTATTAATAATAGAATCAGTACTCCAAAATAAACACCTGGAGTTTTAAGATCATTGATCATTCTTTTTATTAAATCATTTTAAATTTTCTTTTCTCTTTCCCACTTTCTTTCTCATTTGCCCCTTTTCTTTCCCTTTCTTTCAGTAAATCCCTTGAGCATTTATGTTTTTGCCAGTACTGGGAATATAGCGAAAATAAGAGAAACTACAATGCTGTAAGCAGGACCTTTGCATTAAGAATCCTACTGTTGAGTGTCGAGAGTTGAGCATGAGACTGTGTTACAGTTGCTGTAATGGACATTTATCACAACCTCTGAACTTACATACTGAAGAAACTAAGAAGCTCCCAGACAGGTAAGGCAGGAAAAAGAAGGCCCATGAAAGTGTCTGTGTGTCCTTTATTCTTTTATAGAACATAAAACTAGAAAAATGGTATGTTTACAAACTTTCAGCTAAGACACATGGGATTTTGTGTAGATTTTATGTGCTACATGGATTGTACCCAATCCAGACCGTAGATTGGCTATTAAAACTTTATGAATCACAGTGTTCTTAGTTGATTTTAAAAATAACATTTTTGAGTAAACTTAAAAAAATTGAAAACATCTGAGGAAATTATAAATAAAATAAACATTTTCACTGTTACATGTGTAACATAAAAAAATGAAACAGTTGTTATGACATAGTACTTGCTTTAAGTTTTTATTCTTCAGAATTTTATACTTGTGTACAATTAAATCTGATCATATTTGTCTCCTTCCCATATCCTCCTCAACGGGCTCCCTCCCAACTTTATAAATTTTTTATTACCCACTGAGTTCATTTAGTGGTTTTTCAAATGTAGGATGGTATGGGGCAAAAAGAAACCAAAAGCAACAACTCAGTCAGAGTTTAAGTCTTGTGTCTCATTTATGTTTAGAACTTTCACCTGTCACTTCAGCTGAATGGATAGAGAAGATGAATAATATAACCGAATTCATCCTTATTGGCTTGACTCAAAATATGCAGCTTCAGATATTTTCATTTGTTGTGTTTTTCATTGTTTATCTCCTCACCCTGGTTGGCAACATGCTTATCATCGTCACTGTCAGCAGCAGCAGGGCCCTGGGATCTCCGATGTACTTCTTTCTCTCTTTCCTGTCTATGATTGATGGCTGCTGCTCCTCATCCATGACTCCTAAGATGCTGGCTGACTCTTTCTCTGTGAGGAAAACCATTTCTTTCAGTGGATGTATGACTCAAGTCTTTGCTGAGCATTTTTTCGGTGCTGCTGAGATCATTCTTCTCACAGTGATGGCTTATGATCGCTATGTGGCCATTTGTAAACCCCTGCACTACGCAATCATCATGAACAGATTTGTGTGTAGCCTCTTGGTGGGAGTGGCCTGGGCTGGAGGTTTTATTCATGCAACCATTCAGATCCTCTTCATGGTTTGGCTGCCTTTCTGTGGCCCCAATGTCATAGACCACTTTATGTGTGATCTGACCCCACTGTTGAAACTTGTCTGCATGGACACACATACTCTGGGTCTCTTTGTTGCTGCCAACAGTGGCTTCATCTGTCTGCTAAACTTTGTACTTCTGATTATCTCTTATATAGTCATCTTAAATGCTCTGAAATCTCACAGCAAGGAGAGAAGGTACAAAGCCCTCTCCACCTGTGTCTCTCATATCACTGTGGTCATCTTATTCTTCGTACCTTGCATATTTGTGTATCTGCGCCCAGTAACAACCTTCTCTATTGATAAAGCTGCAGCTGTATTTTATACAATGATAGCTCCTATGTTAAACCCCTTAATTTATACCCTCAGAAATGCTGAGGTAAAAAATGCTATGAGGAAATTCTTGGGCAAAAGTTGACTTCAATGGAAAAAGAATCAAATAACATAAATCATCTTTCAAATGGTATAGAGAAAAATTACTCTTAAGATTCTGAGTTTGGTGAGCACTATATGTTAAAGTGTGTACTATAATATGTCAAACATTCTGAGGAAGAATTGTACATTAAATTATGATTATAAAAATATCTCACTTAGATTTATTCATTGTTCATTTGCTTGCCAAACTTCAGTCTGCTGTGAGAGTTGGTTAAGGTTCTTGCTCAAGTGTATGGGCTAAGGACACCACTCTAGTAGTCTGAGGTTGAAGGGCTGTTGTTGACAGACATATCTTAATTTGTGGTAGATTTTTCTGGATTTAACCAAGGAAATTCCCTATATATACACTTTGAGAATTAATATACCTGCCTATTAAAATATTACATTGTTAAATAATCTTAGGTTATATCTTTCATAACAAAAACACTCCTTGCCACCTCCAACACATGGGAGAACTGACCTTGGGGACGTGAGAAGAGAAAAGAAGAGCTAGCTTATCCTGCCCCTCAACAAATGTAGCAATCTGGAGAGTAGGTCCTGCACCTCACCCAGGCAAAACAGTAGAGCTGGACTTGGTGTGAGTACAGGTTAACTGAGCCTGAGGGTGTGAAAGCAGAAGAACTAATCTCACTCATTTCTGTCTGCTACATTGGGTGAGCTAGCTGGGGCAGTGCTGGAGAATTTGCCTGGGTTGTAACAATGAGGGGAAGGATGGCAGGCTGACAAACTCAGCTACTACCCAGGCCCAGAACCAGGACTACAAGGTAGCCCATTACAATACCCACCTCATCTATAAACTGCTGGAGCATGTGAAGGGCCAGATCTGCAGACCCAAAATTACAGGATCTCCATGACACAAGGCAACAATAGGATATTCAAGAGGACTCCAAGTGAAGGCTCAGTATCAATGGTGTAGCAGAGACCAATGATTCATTGCAATGTATAAAGATGTATAGAATAAAGGGTATACTGTTTGACCCACTGGGCCACACTACTATTTCAATGCTGAGATTTTAAAAATTTATTTATTTATTTATTGGCTTTTTAGTCTTATTGTTTTATTTCTGAATTTTGTTTGGGGAGCTTGCAAGGACTGGGTGGAAATGAGGGGTGGGGAGATGAGTGGGATCAGGATATATTATGTGAAATCCACAACAAATCAATAAAAAGTTAAAAAAGAAAGTATCTCCCTAAAAATGATGATAATCACAAACTTGTCTTCTTGAATCATAGAATAAAAGTCTGCATCCTTACTTCTATTTATTCTATAGTTAAAATCCTATATCTTATAAGTCTTTGAATACTTATGTCAATCCATTCTCATTGTTTAAATCACCACATACAACTTTAACATTTTTCAATAACATTTCACCATTGAGCATCTTATTTGCTTTATAAATTCTGTGAAAGTAAAGACGTTGGCTACTTCACAAACTACTTTGTTTGTAATACCTAGACTTGGTATAACACAAACATTCGCTAAGTAAATGATCATCAAGTCCATTTGGCACTGAAGAACAAATTCATTTTAAAAAGAGATATTTGAGAGAGGAGTGGGGGGAAGGGGAGAGGAGTGGGGGGAGGAGGAGAGGAGTGGGAGGAGGGGGAGGAAAATGGGAGGCTGGGAGGAGGCGGAAATTTTTTTTCAATAAAAAAATAGAAGAAAAAACTAACAAAAAAGAGATATTTGATAACTGCTTTGTTTATAACATTGATCACATTTAATTCTTGCTAATAAATAGAAATGGAGACATTAAAATCAGTTTATTATACCATCCAGGGTTCTTATTTAATTACACAGGATCATCTGTTGCAAATTTAAGTAGGAGGGATTTATCATGTGTAACATATTGGCCTACAAAGCAGCTGTAAGGCTGGGATTGCACAGTGAAAGAACTATCAGGAACAACTTGCTGAGGTCCATTTGGTAGAGTAGGTGTTCTGGAGGATGTGTTGCTAGTGTTGAGACATTGACCTTGTGCTCACAGATATGTGTCTGAATAATACTATGTTAGTATTGTACAGAGTACAAAAAACACACCCACTACCATAGTCCATACAGTGTACAATGGTCCATATCCACTATGATAGTATAATACAGAATACAAAAAGCACACCCACTATCATAGTCATACAGTGTACAATGGTCCATATCCACTATTTTAGTATCGTACCGAGTACAAAAAACACACCCACTACCATGGTTATACAGAGTACAATGGTCCATATCCACTATGTTAGTATTGTACAGAGTACAAAAAAACACACCCACTACCATAGTCATACAGTGTACAATGGTCCATATCCACTATGTTAGTATTGTACAGAGTACGAAAAGCAAGCACATCCACTACCATGGCATCATACACAGTACAAAATACACATCATCTGTCCTAGCATCATACAGAGTTGTTTCACTAAAGTGAACATCTCCTAAGCTACCCCAATTCACTTGCTCCTGGACTGATTACATCTGTTGATCTCTACTTCCTTCAAAGTTTTTCCTTTAAAAAATAGCAAGGAAATGGAGTCAGGTCAGATCATCAATGGATGAATGGATAGTGAATATTGTACATACACACAATGAATTTTTATTTACCCATAAAGAAAAATGAAATTATGAAACATTTATGAAAATGGACAGGAACTGTAATAAATATTGAAAGTGACTCAGTCTAGGAAAGAAAAGGATCACATGTTCTCTCTCATATGTATGTCTTAGTTTCAGATATTTATATATGTGTACATGTGAGTGAGCAAGGGAAAATTCCAGGAAATAGAAAGGGGTCATGAGAGCGTGGGAAAGCATACTTCAAGGGGAAAGTGCTTAGGAAGGTTAAGGGAAACATATGGTGCAAAATTCAAATGAGTCTAAATAATTTAAGCAGGGCTTTGGGAGAGCAGGAATGGAGAAAGAAAGGAAGGGAAGGTCAAGAACAACTAAGAATTATATGGAAATGTCATCAGGAAACTTGCTAATTTGTAAACCAATTAAAAATATAAAAAACTGAAAATGCTAAAAGTGGACTGAGAATTTCTCTTCTCATCTCCTTTCCTCTCTTCTTCCAATCTTGTTTTCTTTTCTTTCATTTCCTCCAATCCTCCTCCCCCTCTTCTTTGTGGCTCCCTTCTATTTTTTTTTTCATTTATTTATTCCTTCAAGGCTGGAGATCGAAACCAAGGCGTTGTTCTGGTGGTTTTCCAATGCTTCACTTTGCTGTATATAAGCTTACCTTAGCCTTTTATAATCATTGATCTGCCAACATAAAAAAATGGTTCCCATCTCACCTATCAATTTCAGCTTAAGTATCACTTTTAAAATAATCTTTTATAATTACCTTAGTCATAGTTTACCTCACTGTTTTCTGTCATAATACTTGAATTGTTGTTTTATTAGCATAAAACCAATCATAGATTATAGTTATATTTTAAAAGCTACTCCCATCTTTATTTTAAGAGGCCACGACCTTGAAAGAGAGCAAGGAGAAGCATATGCGAGAGTTTGAGGGAGTATTCCACTTTGGAGGGGGGAGATATAATTATATAATAATCTCAAAGATAGACTAAAAGACCCTAAACTTGAGAAAGAAAAATTTTAAAAAGCACAAAAAGATATAAAGACAGTGCAAATAAGATTATATATATTTTTTTAATTTTGTCTGTTCTGGTAACTACTATGTATCTTGCTAATAGCATAGGCTTTGAAACAAAATAGAGTCTGATAATAGCTCAAACAATTCATAGATAAGAGTTAGTTTCTAAAAACAAATAAATACCTAAAAGTATATACAATTATACACCAATACTGGTGCAAAACTCAAAGGCTAAGTAAAAGGAGAAAACAATTGGCTCTAACAAACCATATAAGTGATGAAAAAATTATCTTCACTAGAAACAGTGAGCTGGGCTAATATTTTAATCTTTACTGCCAATTGCCCTACAATATTTTCTGAAAAGATTTTTTCCTTTTTATAACCCCCTGCCTCATGTGTCCGATAAATAGGATGGAATTTTTATATATAAATGTTCTTTTAAATATTAGTGGGAAGTCACAGCAAATTTTACTAAGAGTCAGTCTTGAATGGACTCCAGATGCTACATTCCATGACAAGTGTAGCTGTCAGGTATAAAAACCTTCTGTGTTCTGGGAAGAGGATTCTGCAGTCTGTAGTCGTGATCCAGACACAGAGCAAGCAAGATGTGACTACCTCACTGGAAAGGTACTGAGTCACGTGGCTAACTCAGACAAGAACTATGGGATAATGTAAGTTATAAGAATTAGTAAATAAGAAGCCTCAGTTAATGGATCATTCAGTTTATAATTTTTTAAAAAAACTACTATGATCCTTGTTTCTGCCAGGAAGAATGTGCAGTTCTCCTTGTAACTTCTATAATTGCTTTCTTTTCTAAAACATGATTTTTCAAAAGGCATGTGAATGATTTCCTCCAGTTTCAAGTGGATGTATTTGTCAAGAGGAGAGGAGGTGGGTTAAACACATGGAGGGCAGCTATTCTCTATTGAAGTTGTTAAAAATAAGAAAGCAAAATCTTCCTTGTTGTAAAGGTTAGTGGGGTCTTATTATGTGGATGCAGGATTTACCTGAATTTATGTTATTCTAACATCAAAACATTAATTTTTGTTTCCATCACATAACTCATTTGAAGTAGTTCTACAATGTAGACAATGATTTTCTGAAATATTCAGAAGAGCAGAAAACAAGCCACATGCCTTCAAAAAAATTTTCAAGAAATAATGTAACTTTTTTGCCTTCTATGTGCATACCCAAACCATCCTGAAAACAAAATATGTGCATACCCAAATGGAAGAAGATATTTTATTGTGAAGTAAAAAGTCCCTTTCAAACTTCAAAGAAACTCTCAAAAGTTGAGAATTCAGGAATTAGTAGGGGAAACCAGACTTTACAACTGGGTAAACTTTTCACTGAATGTTATATCAATTGAGTTGATCACAATACATTGAGA